TGTGGACATAAAAAATTGTAATAGAATTGACGAGTTTAAACATAAATATAAAGGTATGTGTCAATCAAGATATATGCAAGAACAGGTTTAATGATTAATTAGGTGTAACATTGTGGGTGTGGTGTAAGAATGTTAACACTATGTAATATTTCATTAGTATATTACTTGTGTGGTGTAGAAGATAATTATCTATGTAGAAATACTGCTTGGTGGTAAGATGATGTTATGGGGTAGGACTAGATAAGTCTAACTTCTTCCTACTCCGTTCAAGCACGTACTAGGTATAAGCAAATTGATAATGGATTAGCATGTGTGGATATGTGTGAAATTATGTGTGTTGACATGTCGACTATCTTTACATGCTTGAAAGAATAAATCAATCAATCAATCAAATCTTAGCCTCAGTAGATCGTAGTCTGTATAGAGAATGTGAAGGTACATCATGCCATGTTGAATGTAGAGAAGGGGGCACCATTTTTGGAGGGAGGTGCTTTATTACCTGCATATAATTTTGTTTTGATTGGCTAAAAGGTTGCTTAAATCGTTTAGCTCTCACTTGGTAATTCAAGATGTCTGTGCTCAAACTAATCATCGTTTGGGTGCAGATGATGCAATCGCTACTGAATACAGCTGTTTGGGATATCATTTGTTGTTTTTAAGTTAAATTATAGATGTATGTAGTGTAAGTATCTATGATGGATAATGAGCACAATGATTCAAACATGGGGCATTTACCCAAAATTCAACACGCCATGAGGTCAACTTCACATTCTTTATATCTGCTTTATAGGGGTTCTGCGTTATACATTAGTGTGACCTGTATTTGTCACATGGCAAAATCAACAATGTCATCCCCCCAAAGGTAGAACATTAGACTGCATGAAGACATAAATACAAGTCTGCATACTCTGCTAATCTGTCTTCCAGCTTGAGCATAATTGAAATTTCCCCTCATTACTCTTTGAACTGCTGCAATCAAATCAAGGACCACTAGATTCAGGAATAGTTTTTACCCAACAGCAGTTACCACACTCAGTGCTACTAAAATATAATATGCCTGTGTGTGAGAGGGGGGGGCATGAGACATGAGAGGTCTGTTTATTTTGTTTTTCTAGTGGTTAAGTTTTTTATATGGTCTTATTTCATATGTTATGTTTTTTTTTCAATTTCTGTACTGACTGGAGGTCACTCTAAAATTTAGTTGTACATGTTCCAGTGACAATAAAGGATTATCTTATCTTATCTTAGTGAACTTACCAGTGACCCCATGTTGATCCGCAGTTCTTGGAGCATTTGGATGAATATGCTAATATCTTTTTTGTTAGATGAAATGTTTCCAAACTTATGTCCTAAATCTTTTAAACTCTCCTCCAAATAGAAGACATTTAATTTTACCCAACACATCCCACCCTAGAAGAAAAAAGGTAGAGATATGACATAACATGAGTAACCGCAGATCCTGTATGACAATTAAATACATAGTCCACTAATCAGATTTACCAAAATGTCAACAACAATGTTCTCAACAGGTTACACAGCCAGTAAAGTCCAATAATCCTCCCAGTGAGATGTTACTTTCACAGCTAGCACTGGCAGATGGCAATATTCATATTGCATAACAGCATTTACAACATTTGGTCTGAGAGTGTAACCAAGGAAAGATCACTAAAGTCAAGGTCAATCTGTGTCTGTTTACTGCCATACTTTATTATTCTCTGTGATTTTCTGTATCTGTATGATATCTTACCTCCTCTTTTGGAATGTAATGTACAGGAATTTTATAATCTTTAGGAATATTTTGTTTCTGTGAAAAGAAAAAATAAAACAATTAAGTTTCTGACATCATATCAAATCCTACAGAACATAAGAAAACACACAATGACCATAATCCAAATACACCTGCAAGTTAATAGTGTAGTATATGAAAAAAAATTCACTCTTTGTTAATACAAGAAAAACCCTTTGATTTGGTGAGTCGACGCAGAGCAAGTCTGCTGCCCTCTCTCTTCCATATCAGTTCGTGTGCTTCTCTCTTTGAACATTAAGCCGATTCTCCCTCTTTGCTGGGTTTTGAATTCCATCACTTTTTAACCTTTGCACATATTAACTTTGGTCATAAAACTGTTGGCGCCATGCAGGTGCTGGGGAAAAAAAAATCCTTCTTGATACAGAATTGGTTCAGGAGTGGCAGCCATGACTCCATATCTCAGTCAATTGTCAAGTCTGTTGTATTTTCTTGCTTTTATGTTTATACTGTTTAAATATTGGGAAATAAATGCAATAACAATGCTTCAGAAAGCAGATACATACTGTAGTTCCATGTTGTACTTGGTAGACTACTAGATGTACAAAGTAGCTGAATGTCTTAGTCTGTGAAATGAAGTACATCTTTATGGAGGATTTAGTTTAACTTTAGAATGAAAATTAAATTAGTGTTATCCTTACCAAAATAGAAAGTCTAGAGATGTCATCTGTCACTGGGTTGACGTCAAATTTACTTGAATATACCCCAAGCGTGATGAACAGCAGTGAATGGACACAGGTGTGTATCCAAATCTGCAGGTCAGAAGAGACACAAAACATTTTGACTATTAGTCACATCTTCTTCATATAATGAATAGTAATAAACCAACACATGAAACAAGAGCATGACAGCAGTCACAAAGCATCACAGTAAATCGTGCAGATGAAAACTGAGCTCAAACACACCTGAAGGCTCGTGGCCACAACTAACATCTTTAAATCCAAACCGCAGTTATAGACTGACATTAGAAGCACAAAGCTTTGTGCTGTACAAGTTGGCAGTAAATAATAACACACTATCATTTGCAGTGATTTTACAGCAGCTTAGATATGTAGCTGGCAATAAAAATATGGCTTATTTTTACAGAAGACACACCTCAGTATTACACAAGTAAGCACAGTGTCATGTACAGTATATCACAACAGTTCTACAAAGCTTAGGCAAGTGATGACTGATTCAGTGCCTGTTTGTTCTATATTGCTATTAGCCTCAGGTACTTCATGTGCCAAATTTTGGTTGGACATAATGGGACAAATTACAGGGTGCAAGAAAGAGTCTCATACCTTGAGCAACACTTTTATCATGTTATAAATTGTGCCTGTTGCCTAAAGAGTGGTCCATTCTGACCAGAAGACACCTGTGTTGCTTGACAATCTCCTGAGCTAGAGGTTATTGAATATATGGGGTTTTAAATACATTTGTACTCTATTTAAGTACATTGACACCACATCAAATAAAATTTCAGACTCCTGTAATGCTGACATGGCTTGATGGATGTCTTGAATGTACCAGTGAAGAAGCCATATGCTTTTTTTTTAAATCAAATATTAAGATTTTTCACAGTAGAAAATCAAAGATGCTGTGAGAACATGAGTCAGCATTCATAATATCAGGACTGTGAAACCATGGCAGCTACATGGAGTTTAGCCAGCAGCTCCTTTTAATGCAGGTTCACTTCATTCAGTGTCAGTTTCAGTTTCAACAGAGCGACAGAAGATGTAGCAATCTGTGTACAACTCACCAAACTAATGCCTTAGTAAGGGTGAAACGTGAGAACCTTTCTGTGTTGCTTGTTGTCAGATCTTACATGGCCATTAAAAACATGAGTATTAATAGATAAGGTGAATTTCCTCTGGAATATTTACACTTAAAGTTTGTGAAATCAAAAGTGTTTACCAAACTCTGAACTAAAGAATTCCCATCAGAGATAATGACTGTGTCGGTAGTACACTAGTAGTACAGTACTTTTTTGAAATTAAAAATTGTGTAACATGGGGTTTGAATGACTGAAGCCCAAAATGGACCCTATGGAACTTCTAACCACAGGTAGCGCTATGGAACAGTGTTCTGTGGGCCCTTGTTTTGTTTGGATCTCACATTAGGACAAAATGGACACGTGGGCAGTGCAATTATTTTTCACTGACTGACAAATGGTGATGGTAATGTCCCAACACATATAGCAATACACCAATAACAAGACAGTGAAGAAAACTTCTGGCAAGCAATTGTGGATGTAACAGATGTACATTTTCAAGATATTTTTAAAAATAGCCTTTGCAAATATTCTATAGAGGAAGGAAAGGTATTCAGCATGTTTGTTCAATCACACAATGCCTTCGAATGAGGGATACTGAATGCAAACATGACTTGTGTTTACAAGGAAACTCCACAGGATGCCTTTAGGAAATGGAGAACTACCTGCAGGGTAGGGTGGCCAGGCTGGAGCCCAGACTTAGAGAGGGGAGGCACAGTTGAAATATATGTAAAAAGTAAATGAAACCCCTAGTTCTATGAAATAATAAAGCAAATATTATTAATGAATCAAAATCTTTATTTGGTGTAAAAATGAGACTTACATAGTGCTTCCTTTAGCTAACATTGGCTTTACTTCCAGCCAGGGTCATTGCCACTGTGTACTCTACAACAACACAACTGGAGAAATGAATGCAAACATCATGCTGCATGCAAAATAAAACGAATCCGGCCAATGTCACTTATAAAGTACCCAAAAATGTTAGTTGTATTTAAGGCAACAATTTGTCATTGTTTTTAATCTTTTATTCACAAGCATGACATTTTGACTGTTGCAGGGGTGGCACCAGGAGTGGCCAATTAGATCAGAAAGTATTAGTATCAAAATATACTTACCACATTTCACATTAATGTATATTGCATTATAATTATTGATGCATCATTGTGTTCTTCAAGCAACCAAATAACAATACATAGCAACTTAATAACTGTCAGTAGACTGATATGAAGAAAATGATAAAATATTTTGCCACATCAACCTGTCAGCGGTAACAACATCTATTACACCTGTTGTAAAGTCATGACTTGGTTGTCTGTCAATTTCCATATGGATTTTTCAAATCTTTTACTGATTTTTAAAGCACTTCATGGTCTTGCACCAGCATACTTATCTGATATCCATTTAATGTATGAACCCATACTATCTCTTATATCCACTAGCTAAATCTTTTAGTTGCTCCCCAGGACAAAAACCTTTGAGACTGCAGATTTTTTTTCATTTTTAAATCTTTGGTTTGGGTTTGATTAGAACATTTAATGGTCATTATTTATTCTGCATTAGCCTGCATTGTTCCTCTTAATGGAGGTTAGAACCAACCAGAGCCCAACCATAATCACTTCAGCAATCTTGAAAGTGAATCTCCACTTTGGTGAATAAAGCTTTAGAGTGTTTCACAAGTGGGACGCAGTGAGAGGGATCAAGAGATTATGGTGAGCTGAGACATGTATAATCTTCAGGCATCTGAACCAGTACAACAGGATTCTGTTCTGTAGTTTATTTATTCAAGGGTTTGATGACAACTGTACTTGTTGTCCTCATTCAAGGTCACACACATTCGTACAGTCTGCATTCTCCCTGCCAGATCAGTAATTTTCAAATCTTCAGGGCAGAATTCACCACCCACGTTCCTCCTGTTACTATATATTTGTCAAACACAGCCATAACAGGAAGAAAGCGGAACAATGATCCATCAACAGCAGGAAAGGCTGAAGGAAAAGCGCCATGTAAAGGGCTGAGAAAGGGGTGTAATTCAATTCAAAACCTTGCTTCTGCTGCTCACCAAAATGAATCATCTTTAAACTGCAGACAGGGACATTAAGCAAGCATTGTTTCAGGCGAGATTAGCTCTGCATGTCATGAACCACATTTGTACAGGACAATGACACTAAATGAAATCAAAGATGCCCCAGATACAAGTACATAAGGTCAGGGACTGTGCAAGTTGCCAGTTATAAGTAGTTTAAAACAGCAAAACTTGACATTTGTCCCCTTTTTAAAGAATAAATAAATAATTGTCTTTTTGAAGACAAAAACATGAGTTAATTTCAGCCAAAACATGTTGTTTAAGAATTTCCAGACATGAGACCAAACTCACAAATACTCTCAACTGATATCCCACCTGGTTGATGTTAAACTCCGGCAAATAGTTTTGACATTACAGTATCTCTCATTATTTCACACTTATACTGACTGGATGAAACAGTTAGTGGCCTGGCTGCCTCTAAACTGCTCCTGCAGGATTTAATTATGCTGTATAAAAATAAATAAATTGGCACAGAAACCGTATGGACAAAATTAATGTTGTTTCTCCATGTGATCTGACACTCTCAGTCATATATCTATTTTACTACTAAAAGCTCAAAGTCCTTAGGCCACCATCCAGTTGCAAAAGACCACCGGGGCTTAACTGTTTACATTTATTTTGTAGCTTCATTGACATATTCACTGCATCTGGTTTCAGTTTCTGGGAATTTCACTCAACACTTTGGCACTGCCCTGTTTCATCACTACAAAGTGTGTTTAAAAGAGATTCTGGGAAAAAAGTAGGTGGTGGCAGCTCACACCTTCCTGTCAAAAAGCATTAGTCTGCATATGGAATTATATCCTTAGTAGACAGGCTGGAAATGCCATAGTAAATGAAATCAGTGGGAATAAAAGAAAGGATGGAAAATAAACATGCCAATTCGGTTTGGACAGAATCCTGTGCAGAAAGGCTCCTGTTATCTTGAAACACAGCCGAGACCAACGAAAACAAGTCTGATCTTTGCTGTCAGCACTGCCACTCCCAGACTAGATTGATTTACAGTGTGTGCTTATTATGTAATTGCAGAAATTCTCTGACATTTCTTCTTTTCCAATTCATTTTAAATTCATGAAACAACATACAAACATTTACACAAAGCCAATGTTTTTAATATGTCTTCATGCTAAAAACAGAGCAGCTGCGACTGCCTAGCAGAGCTCATTGCTGCCGTTAACCTCTGTTTGCTGGCAATAGTCTTTTACAACTGATGGTAGTAATCCCCGTGGCCTTTTTGTGAGTACTCAGCAGTACACACAGCAGGATGTGATGCGTGAGTGATGACAGCAGCGTCAGCCACCATTCAACAGGTCTTTGCTGGACAGATTCATAGCCCTTGAAACAAGCCAGTAAAAAATTAGTGTCCCGAGTTGTGACGGCAAGCCAGAGGTTCAAATCTCACAGGGCCTGTCGCTGCTGACAAGTTGTGAAGTGGATTTCTGAAACAATTGTTTTCATCAGACTTGGTGGGCAGATGGGCTTTGGGGAATGGTGCAACTAATCAGATTGTAAATTTTGCACTTTAAGGACCTAATTTTCTAAATGCATGAAAGGAAATGTTATGATCAGTCCCTATGCGAGTGCCCAAAAGGTGCATCATTTAAGATTTTCCTACACTATTTTAAGTACTTAAACGCAACAGGGCTTCACATTTTCTTTTATTGATAAAGTCAGTAAAAATTATGTACTGTAAGTGACGATGGCTAGGTCAGAGCTAAAAAAAAATGTCTAATTATCATTGCCCAATGTTCCAAGACTGAGCTGTGGGACAAAAGTAAAACCTCTTTGTGTTGCGTGTGCTCCTAGAAACTAGAACTTCTCCTTTGTTTTTGCTTGTAGGTTCAAAAGTAGATCTGTTACCAAGGATATCTCACAAAATACAAATGTCTGCTGTCTCAGCCCCCCCCCCCCCAAACCTC